AGTATTAGTAATATTATTTGTTTTGAAATGGGCAAATACAAGCAAAGTAATCACCGGGAAAAAGAAAGCAAAAAAGAGAAAAAAAAAAAAGAAAAAATCGGTGGATGACTGAGTAGGGAAACCAGGCTCCGTCTGAGCACACAGACTATGATGGAGTTCCTGGGGGCCCAGAAGGTAGGTGGGAGTGGGGCTGGCCACACCTCCGTTCACCAAGCAGTATAGGGTGTAGTAAAAAGAAAAATGTTGTACCTTTTCAGTCTTGCAGGCCCCGAGTGTCCTTGGGGTTGCTGGAAAGCAGAATGTGTTCTTAAGCCCCAGAAATCTGCGAGATGCTGTCTCTTTAAATATCCAAAATAGTCAAGACACTTTTTAAACCTTCAAAATGGTGGCGTCCTCTGGACCGGTAAAAGTCCACAGCTCAACCCACCTTTCTCTTCACCTTCTCCGTTTGTTCTCTAGCCACCGTGCACAGTCCTCGGTGCAGTCCCTGGCTAGCAGGATGATTTTTAGGTTAATTCTTAAGTCCTCCCACCACAGGAATCTGCGAGAGTGCTGTCTCTTTAAATATCCAAAATAGTCAAGCCGCTTTTTAAACCTACAAAATGGCGGTGCCCTCCGGATCGGCAAAAGTCCACACCTCAGCCCACCTTTCTCTCCAACTTCTCTGTTTGTTCCCCAGCCACCGTGCACAGTCCGTGCAGTCCCTGGCTAGCAGGGTGATTAAGTTAATTTTTAGGTCCTACCACCACTCGGGATTGTCCAAGCCGTTTGTGCCATCAGGGGCGTTCAGGTCCCTGCCAGACCGCAGCTCCGTATGTCTCCTTTTTCGGTATTGAAAGAAATCTTTTATGTATTATTTGTTGTTAGGTGCTGTTGAGTCAGTTCCAACACATAGTGACCCTATCTACAACAGAACAAAACACTCTGCAGTCCTGTGCCATCCTCACAATCCTTGCTGTACTTGAGCCAATCGTTGTAGCTACTGTATTTCTCCATCTCATTAAGGGTCTTTCTGTTTTTCGTTGACCCTGTACTTTACCAAGCATGATACCCTTATTCAGTGACTGTTCCCTTCTGACTACATGACCACCAAAATATGTGAGATGAAGTCGCCATTCTCACTTCTAAGGAACATTCCATTTGCACTTCTTCCAAAACAGATTTGTTCATTTTTCTGGCAGTCTATGGTATTTTCAGTATTCTTCACCAATACCATAATTCAGAGGCATCAACTCCTTTGGTCTTCCATCATTCATTATCCCAGTTTCACATGCATGTGAGGCTGTTGGAAATATCATGGCTTGTGTAAGGTGCATCTCAGTCATCAAAGTGACTTCTTTGCTCTTTAACACTTTAAAGAGGCCCTTTGCAGCAGATTTTCCCAGTACAATGTCATTTGATCTTCTGACTGCTACTTTCATGGGCATTGATTATGGACCAAGTAAAATGAAATCTTTGACAATGTCAGTCTTTTCTTCATTTATCATGATGGTGCTTATTGGTCCACTTGTGAGGAGTTTTGTTTTCTTTATGTTGAAGGGTAATCATTACTTCATGTCATATTGACTTCCAGCAAGTAAAGTTGTATCATCTGCATATCTGAAGTTGTTACGAGTCTTTCTCCTAAATTCAAATCTTATTTCTCAAGCTGAAGGAACTAAAGAAAAATTCACGACTTGAATTGCAATATCAATGGATCTGTGGACAAAATATTGAATGATGGAAGAAGATTCAAAAGCAAATGGAAGGAATACACAGAGTCACAAAGAATTTGTTGACATTCAGGTATTTCAGAGGTAGTATATGATCAGGAACCAGTGGTATTGAAGATAAAAGTTCAAGCTGCACTGAAAGAATTGACAAAATACCCATTGAGATGTTTCAATAAATGGATGCTGCAGTGGAGATGATTACTTATTTATGCCAAGAAATTTGTTAGACAGCTACCTGGCCATTTGCCTGGAGGAGATCCACATTTGTGCTGATTCCAAAGAAAAGTTATCAAACAGAGTGAAGCTCTGGTAGCATAGTGGCTAAGGCACTTGACTGCTAACCAGAAGGCTGGCGGTTCAAACCCACCAGCCACTCCTCGGAAGAAAGGTTGGGCAATCCTACTTCCGTAGTGATACTGCCTCGGAAACCCAAGGAGGGGTCGCTATGAGTCGGGGCCGACTCGACGGCATATAACAACAACAACAACAACATTATTAGTATAACATGCAAGTAAAATTTTGCTGGAAGTGAAAAGTGGTTGCAGCCATAGATTGACATGGAACTTACAGAAATTCAGGGTAGATTCAGAATAGGACATAGAATAATAAGGGATATCATTGTAAATGTCAGATAGATCTTGGCTGTAAGCAAAGAATACCAGAAAGATGTTTACTTATGTTTTACTTGAAACATTCTATTGTGTATATCGTAACGTTATGAATAACATTATGAAGAATGGGAATTCCAGAACACTTAATTGTTCTCATGAAGAACCTGTTCATGACCAATAGGCATCATTTCATCGGTACAAGGGAATACTGCATGGTTGAAAATCAGGAAGGGTGTGTGTCAGAGTTTTGTCCTTTCATTTTATTTAATCAGTCTGTACACTGACCAAATAATCTGAGAAGCTAGATTGTATGGAGAAGAATGTAGCATCACGATTGGAAGAAGACTCATTTCTGAGTCTTTACCAGGTCATTTTTCAGAATTGTTTATGCATTTGGAGAGAAGAAGTAACATCTGCCAGACAAAGAGCAGGCTTATACACTGCCTACTATAAAAGTGGTGGATTCCCTAAATCCCACATTCCTTAGATGTCCCATGTGGCCAGTGCATGCACAGGATCCACTTGTGACATAATGCATTGTCCCTATGGAACTTGAGGGGAAATAGAACACATGAATGTACTCTGATGATCCTGTTGCTTGCTCTTCCTTCTATAGTAAAGTCTTTAGTTTCAATTCAGGAGTCTTATGTTTTCTTCTAGCATAAATACATATTTATTTTAAGTGGGGTTGAATAAAATCCCAAACCTGATAGTATTTCCCCAAGCAATTGAATTTTCTTTAAAAAATCTAAATTTTGTCTAGGCAAAAGGGACTGTACCCAGGACCATAAGGTTGGCAGACAATATTTCTACATATGTATTTGTATGTGCTATTAGAATGTCCATATAAATAGAACAGGGCAAAGTTATAATAACTTATTAGCCATAGGCAACACCCTGAGAGAGCAAGTTGTTGGGCCTGTGGTCTTGGGACTATGGTGGTGGGGGACATCGAGTTCAATTGGCATAACATGCCACACAGAAACATCGTTCTGAATCCTAGTTTGGTGAGTAGTGACTGGAGTCTTAAAAGCTTGCAGACAGCCATCTAGATGCAACAATTGGTCTCTCCTCATCTGGAGCAATGAAGAATGAAGAAAACCAAAGACGCATGGAAATAGTCTAGGGGGCTAGTGGACTGTGCACACTTCAGTCTACATGACCATGAGATCAGAAGAACTAGATAGTATTTGGCTACCACTGTCAAGATCCTGGATAGAGTGGCAGAAAAATGTGGAACAAAACTCAGAATCATAAAAGACCAGTCTTATTGGTCTTATAGAGACTGGTGAAACCCCCAAGACTGTTGCCCCTCCACTGCCGTCGAGTCAGATCCAACTCATAGCAACTCCTCCTTGGGTTTCCAAGACAGTATCACTACGGAAGTGGATTGCTCAACCTTCCATCTGAAGAGTGACTGGGTTTGAACCGCCAGCCTGTGGTTAGCAGTCAGATGCCTTAGTCACTACGCCACCAGAAGGTTACACTTTAAGCCTGGAATTGAACTCATTCCTGTGGCTTCCAGCCGACGATAGACAGGTATATAAGGTGAACATTTACACCAGGTTAGGTACACTCAGAACGATTAAGCATGGGAGATCAGAAGAGCAGTATTTATACAGAGACATAGGTCATAGGGCAAGAATGCATAGGAAAGGCCACAGGAAAAAGGTAACCATAGGGAGGAAGTGGGAAGAGAACTGTAACGTTACAGGGATTGCAGTCAATGTCATGAAACAAAATGTGTATGAACTACTGTATGGAAAATTATTTGTTCTGTAAACTTTCACCCAGATCACAATTTAAAAAAACCCAGATTTTAAGATCTGCATAATATTTTATCATATGACTATACTATTAATTTTAGCCATTATTCTATTTTTGATAAATTATTCCATATTAGTTGCTGTTACAGATGGCTTTGTAATGAATATTTTTATAAATATTCGTCTCCTTTAATGTCTTTCTTTCATTTCTAGAAGTTAAAGGCCAAAGGGAGGGAATGATTTCTTTTTTTCAGTAAAGTTTTTTAAAAGTTTTTTTATATTAAAAATACATCATTAAAAAAGGGAATATATATGTGCATGTGTGTGTATAAATATTAACAAATCTCTTTTTCTTTAGGGCATACTACTGAAGGAGGTACAGCTGAAATTACTCAAACCAACTTAAGATCAGATGTCACTACCACTTCTGGAGATTCAGACATTAGATCTAATTTACCCTTGCATACTGAGGCCTTGCCTCAGTTGACTGTAAGGTCCCCTCAACAGAAGACTATTGATAAACATACTGATATTTTCCACCAACAGACTTTGCCAGATAGTCATCTGAGTGAACAACAGACTTTGGAAGTTTCAGCTATATCTGCACTGGCAAACCAAAAGATGGGGATGCCAACAGTACCGTCCAGTTTCCACTCATACAGAGAGAAGCTTAGTACTTTGTATCAGCAAGAGTTGCCAAACAATCAACTAACTGAAGAATCTCTGGAAGTTTTAACTGCTCCTGGACCAGCTGAGCAGAATACTGATATGGCAAGGGTAACCCCTAGTTCCTACTCACATAGCAAGAAGCCCAGTATATTTTATAAACAGGCATTGCCAGACAGTCATCTAACTGAAGAAACTCTGACACTTCTAGCTGTTCCTGGACCAGCCACCCAGAGGACTGGTATACAAACAGTGCCCTCTGGTTACTACTCACGTAAAGAGAGACCTGATATCTTCTACCAACAGACACTACTAGCTAGTGATTTAACAAAAGAGACTCTCAAAAGTTCATCTGTTCCTGACCAGCTGAACCAAAATACTGGGATGACAATAATATCCCCTAGTTCCTACTCACACAGAGAGAAGCCTAATACTCTCTACCAACAGGTGTTACCAGATAGTCATCTAATTGAACAGGCTCTGAGAAGTTCACTTGGTCTTGGCATGCCAGCTGTCCAGATGACTGAGATACCCTCTGTCTCCTATCCACAGAGAGAAGAGCCTAGTGTTTTCTATCAACAAGTGTTGCCAGATAATCATGTAACTGAAGAGGCTCTGAGAGGATCACCTGTTCCTGGACAACCTGACCAGAAGTCTGGGATACCAGCAGTACCTTCTAGTTCTCACTCACACAGAGGGAAATCCGGTGCTTTCTACCAACAGGTGTTACCAGATAGTCATGTAACTGAACAGGCTCTGAGAAGTTCACCTGTTTCTGGCACACTACCAGCTGCCCAGAAGATTGAGATACCAATAGTGTCCTCTAGTTCCTACCAACAGGAGTTACCAGATACTCATGTAACTGAAGAGGCTCTGAAACATTCAGCTGTTCCTGGACAACCTGACCAGAAGACTGAGATACCATCATTACCCTCTAGTTCCCACTCACAGAGAGAGAAGCCTGGTGTTTTCTATCAGCAGTCATTAGTAGAGAGTCATGTAACTGAAGAGACTCTGAAACATTCAGCTGTTCCTGGACGACCTGACCAGAAGACAGGGATACCAACATTACCCGCTAGTTCCCACTCACATAGAGAAAAGCCTGGTACTTCCTACCAACAGGCATTACCAGATACTCATCTAACTGAACAGGCTTTGAGAAGTTCAGCTGTTTTTAGACAATCTGACCAGAAGACTGGGGTATCAGCATTACCCCCTAGTTCCCATAAACAGAGAGAGAAGCCTGGTGTTTTCTATCAACAGTCATTGGCAGATAGTCATGTAACTGAAGAGGCTCTGAAAAGTTCAGTTGTTCCTGGACGACCTGACCAGAAGACTGGTATACCAACATTACCCTCTAGTTCCCACTCACAGAGAGAGAAGCCCAGTACTTTCTACCAGCAGGAGTTGCCAGACAGTCATTTAACTGAATGGGCTCTGAGAAGTTCAGCTGTTTTAAGACAACCTGACCAGGAGATTGGGATATCAACATTACCCCCTAGTTCCCACGCACAGAGAGAAAAGCCTGGTACTTTCTACCAACAGGAATTGCCAGATAGTCATGTAACTGAAAAGGCTCTGAAAAGTTTGGCTGTTCCTGGACAACCTGACCAGAAAACTGGGATACCAACAGTACTCTCTAGTTCCCACTCACAGAGAGAGAAGCCGGGTGTTTTCTACCAACAGGAGTTGCAAGATAGTCATGTAACTGAACAGGCTCTGAGAAGTTCACCTGTTCCTGGACAACCTGACCAGAAGACTGGGATACCAGGAGTCCCCTCTAGTTCACACTCACAGAGAGAAAAGCCCGGTGCTTTCTACCAACAGGAATTGACAGATAGTCACATAAGTGAAGAGGCTCTTAAAGGTTCAGCTGTTCCTGGACAACCTGACCAGAAAACTGGGATACCAACATTACCCTCTAGTTCCCACTCACATAGAGAAAAGCCTGGTACTTCCTACCAACAGGCATTACCAGATAGTCATCTAACTGAACAGGCTCTGAGAAGTTCACCTGTTCCTGGACCAACTGCCCAGAAGACTGAGATATCAGCAGTGTCCTCTAGTTCCTATCAACAGAGAGAGAAGCCTGGTGTTTTCTACCAACAGACATTGATAGATAGTCATCTAACTGAAGAGTCTCTGAAAGGTACAGCTGTTCCTGGACAACCTGACCAGAAGACTGAGATACCAACATTACCCTCTAGTTCCCATGCACAGAGAGAGAAACCTGGTACTTTCTATGAACAGACGTTACCAGTTGGTCATCTCCCTGAACAGACTCTGAGAAGTTCACCTGTTTCTGGCATACCTGTTGCCCAGAAAGCTGAGATACCAACAGTGTCTTCTAGTTTCTACTCACAGAGAGAGAAGCCTGGTATTTTCTACCAGCAGACATTATCAGATAGTCATCTAACTGAAGAGACTCTGAAAGTTTTACCTGTTCCTGAACCGGCTGGCCAGAAGATTAGGATAACAACAGTACCCTCTAGTTCATACTCACAGATAGAGGAGTCTGATATTTTCTACCAGCAGGAGTTGCTAGATAGTCGTCTAACTGAAGAGACTCTGAAAAGTTCACCTGTTAATGAAATAGCTGACCAAAAGACTGGATTACAAAGAGTATCCTCTAGTTCTTACCTACAGAGAGAGAAACCTGGTATTTTCTACCAACAGGCATTGCCAGACAGTCATCTAACTGAGGAAGCTGTGAAAGTTTCACCCATTCTTGGGCCAGCTGCCCAGAAGACTGGGATACCAACAGTATCCTCTAATTCTTACTCACATAAAGAGAAGCCCAGTAGTACTCTGTACCAGCAGGAGTTGCCAGATCATCATCTTACTGAGAAGCCTCTGGAAGTTTTAACTGTTGTTAGATCAGCTGACAAGAAGACTGGGATACCAACAGAGTCCTCTAGTTCCTATTCACATAGAGAAAAGTCTGTTATATTCTATCAACAGGAGTTGCCAGACAGTGATCTGAGTGAAGAGACTGTGAAAGTTTTGGCTGTTCCTGGATCAGCTGACCAAAAGTCTGGAATACCAACTGTACCCTCTAGTTTCTACTCACAGAAAGAGACATCTGGTATATTCTACAAACCAGTGTTGCCAGGTAGTCATCTAACTGAAGAGTCTCTGAAAAGTTCAGATGAACCTGGACCAGCTGACCAGAATATTGGGATACCAGCAGTACTGTCTACTTCTTACTTACCTAGAGAGAAGCTCAGTACTTTCTACCAACAGAATTTTCCAGACAGTCATCTAACTGAAGAGGCTCCGAAGGTTTCAACTGTTCCTGGGACAGCTGGGCAGAAAACTGACTTAGTAATAGTTCCTGCTAGTTCCTACTCGCCTAGTGTGAAGCTCAAGATTTCAGCTGTTGTTAGATCAGATGACCAGAAGACTGAGTCACCAACAGCTCCTGCCAGTTCTAACTTAGATAGAGAGAAGCCCAAGATTTCAACTGTGATTGGACCAGATGAGCAGAAGACTCCATTACTGACAGTTTTCTCTAGCTCCTGTTCTCAAAGAGTAAAGCCTCATATTAATTCTCAACATGAGTTGCTGGATAGACATCAACATGAAGATGATCTGAAACTTTCAGCTGTCGTTGAACCAACTGATGGGAATCCTGAGATAGCAGTACCTCTTGCTAGTTCCTCTTCACAGACAGAGAAATCTGATATTTTCTACCCACCAGAATTGTCAGACAGACCTCTAACTGATGATACTTTGAAGGTTTCAACAATTCCTGGATCAGCTGACAAGGAAACTGTGTTACCAGCAGTTCCTCCTACTTCCATTTCACACAGAGAAAAGCCTAATGTTGTCTCTGATCAGAATTTACCAGATGAACATGTAACTGAAGATACCCTGAAGGTCCCAAGTGTTCTTGGACAAGTTGAACAGATTACTGTGTTACCAACAGTTCCCCCTGGTACTTATTTACATGGTGAAAAGCACAAATTTGTTTCAGAATGTACCCAAGGGTTAAAGGATAATTTTGATTCCTCTGATCCCAATCCTAACTCAAAGAATACACCTATAAATTCTCAGGCTGGGGATAGAGTTGTAATACATAAGCCAGAAACTTCAGCTTTTGGAGATTTGAGCTCAGAGGAAAACCACAATACCGACAGTGGTTCTAAAACTCTTAAAGAAATTCAGACCCTTTTAATGGAGGCAGAAAATATAGCACTGAGACGATGCAATGTTCCTGCTCCCCTTATCCCTTTCAGAGATGCTAGTGATATTTCACGTATACGATCGAAGAAGGTGGTTTGCTTCAAAGAACCCTCCACAGCTAATAAATGTAATGGTGACTTGCTTCAGAAACAGACATTAACAGAGAAAAACCCAAGTAGCAGATGCGTACAGAAGGATATTAGCACACAGACAAATCTAAAATGCCAGGGAGGCATTGAAAATTGGGAGTTTATTAGTTCAACAACAGTTAGAAGTCCTCTACAGGAAGTAGAAAGCAAAGCCAGACTAGCATTAGAAACTCTTAAGCAATATGAAACAGCCAAATCGGTAATGAGGTCTGAGCCTGAAGGGTGTAGTGGGACCATTGGGAATAAAATTGTTATCCCTGTCCCTGTGATGGCTATCGTAAAAAGTGATTCAAGTAGTGACACAAGTGATGGACATTGTTCCTGCTCATGGGACAGTCGTTTACCAGAGTCTTTGGAGTCAGTGTCGGATGTTCTTCGAAACTTCTTTCCAGATGCTTCACCCAATACTAGCTTGATAGATAGCAGAGATGAGGAAGGTGTGTCAGAGAGTGATGATGGTGGTAGCAGCAGTGTAGATTCACTGGCTGCACATGTGAAAAACCTCCTGAAATGTGAATCCTCATTGAATCATGCTAAAGAAATATTGAGAAACGCAGAGGAAGAGGAATCTCGGGTGAGAGCACGGGGTAAGAACTGGTATTTTATAATAAAAGGAGTTTGAAGCTTAGAAACATACTTTAATAATTATTGAAAGATGTTTGGGCCTCTAAGTTTATTTTCATATAGCATTATTCAAGTAATTACAGTTTACATTAACAATCCAAAAAAAGCCCATTTAACCAGTAATGTAGCTGAGATTATATTAATAGTGCTAGTATGAGTCTAGGAACAGTAGGTTCTGATGTGTGAAAGAGTGTCAAGAGGTAGCTTGGGTTTCCAAACTCCTAAAGCTCTCATGTTACTCTAAGCTTCCCATTATAGTCTTCTTATTTTGAGGCTAGGAAAAAATCTCCACTTTTCTCTGTGCTCTAATTTATTGTGTCCTAAAATTATATTTTTCCTTCTTTTCTAATAAAATGCTGATCTTAGATAGACATTGAGGTCTCTCACACTAAAACTTTGGTTTCCCAAAGAAAAAAAAACCTTGGATTAGAGGTTGCAAAGAAGGTATGTACTAACCATTTTGCTCTAATATTAGAATTCTATTTTTAAAAAAAGCTGAAGACAACATGGAAAATATTGAGGAGGGAGAAGGAAGGAGGGACAATTTATAAACAATTCATTTCTATCTGGAAATCCTCCCTTAAGGTTAATTGTCTACATTTTCTCTTCTACCACTTAAGCATATTTTGATTTTCAATAAAAACAAAAAACATTTTATTTGTTATTTTTAAATATCTGCTCATCAAATTGGTAATAACTGTTGCAGGAGCTAAAGGGGGAAGCAAAGGAACTCTTGATTGGAAGGAAGATTAGGATAAAAATGATGGATTATCATATTTAAAGTGCCTTCTTTGGAGAAATACATGTAGAGTATCGTTTAAAAACAAAATTAGACCTTTCAGTGAAATGATCTAAACAACTTGAAATAGTCTTACATTTGAGAGCAAACACTTTTTGCTAAGGTTGTGTAGGCATTCTATAGGATATATTGATGATCTGTGCTCTTATAATCACTGACAAATGACCATCTTTGCATTATATTATCTCAGGTGTTATTATGCTTTCTCTCCAGCCTGGAATCTGAAGTTTAACTTGGCTCACGAGTGTGGATACTCCATTTCAGAATTAAATGAAGATGACAGGAGAAAAGTAGAAGAGATCAAGGCAAAGTTGTTTGGTCATGGGAGAACAACTGACTTGTCCCAGGTATGAGAGAAACCTGGAAGTGTAAAAGGAAAATGTGAAAGAAAGGGTGGTAGATTTTAGATCTCTCACCCTTGGCATTGATGATTCCAACTGAATCACTGATAGTCTTTGACAAGAAGTCTTCATTTTTCAAAAATTAGTGTTTAAGAATTATGATCTGTTTCTTTTGTTTAACCCTAAATTCATACATTGAGAAAAATTTACTTCTTAGAAATTTACTCCTTAAGGATTAGTCTGCTTGCCTTATCAGTATTACTATTGGAACAGAGACACTAAATGTTACCTATATAAATGGCTTTCTTTATTAATACTAATATTCTTCTATTATGAACCACTTCATGTATGAAAAAGAATATATATCAAACATTTATTTAAAGGATAAAGAGAAATACAATTAATTCCTGTGTATCGACCCTCCAGTTTGAGAAATAGGATGGGTGTTACCAAATGCCTTTGAAGCCTTTGAGTGCTCTTCCTCTGTCATACCTCTTTCCTTTCTTACCCTGATGAGTGTTGGTTTCTTTGCACTTCAGCATGACTTTGAATTCTATATAGATGGGATCAGAATGGTATATATTCTTCTGAGAATTGTTTTTTTTTCACATAGTCTTTGCTTTTGAGGTTCATCCATATAGATTTAGTCATTTTAGATACTTCTTTTTATTGCTATATAATATTCCAGTGTATATGAGTATTTCATAATTTATCCATTCTCCTTTGAATGGGGTATGTGGATTTTTAACAGGTTTTGTTGTTTGTTGTTGTTTTTTTTTGTTTTGTTTTGTTTTTTGCATTATGAACAGTAATAGGCAATAGTAATCAATTTTTATAGTGTTGTGGTATGGGTTACATAAAATAATGCCTTAAAAAATGCTTAGCAGAATGTGTGATACCTAGTTAGTACTCAATAACTGGTATTTGTTGTTATTATTAATTCTATAAGCATTGATAATATCTATCACATGCATAGGCTTTATGGCCTGATTCATACCTGATTTTTAGAAGATTATTCTTCCTACTTAAGTGAAAAAAGCTTAATTATTTGCCTTATCTCAATTTTGGAACCTTTTTTTTTTTTTTTATGATACCCCCCACACACACACACACACACACACACGCTTTTATTGTGGTGAAAGATACACAACAAGACATTCACCAACATAACAACTTCTGCATTTACAGCTCAGGGACATTGATGACATTTTTCATGTTGTGCCACCATTATTGTTATCCTTTTTCAAAATATTCCATCACCATTAGCATAAACTCAATGGCCCCCAAACAAAAGCCTCCCATTCCCCTTCCTTCCTACCCCTGGTATCCACTAATCTTGACTTTCTCTATCTATATATATCTTTTCTCTTTTTCCAGTCTATCTAGAAATTTTCTCTCCCTTCCCTCCCATGCCTGGTAACCAACAAAGAAAATTTCCTTCTATGTATAAACCTTTCCTTGACTTTTTACACAAACTAGGACAAACTAATACAATATTTGTCCTTCTGTGATTGACTTAATTCACTCAGCATAATGTCCTCCAAGTTCATCCATCTTATGCACTGTTTTGCAGATTCTACATTATTAAGGTTACATAGTATTCCATGGTGCATATGTACCACAGTTTGTTTATCCATTCCTCAGTTGATGGGCACTTAGGTTGTTTCCATCTCTTTGTTATTGTGAGTAGTGCTGTGATGAACATGAGTGTGCATATATCTATTCCTGCCTCTCACTTCTTTAGGGTATATACCAAATAATGGGATTGCTGGATTAAATGGTATTTCTATTTCCAACTTTTTAAGGAATCGCCATACCGATTTCTATAATGGTTATATCATTTTGCAATCCCACTGGCAGTATATGAGAGTCCCAATCTCTCCCCATCCTCACCAGCATTTGTTATTTTCTGTATTGTTGAACTTCGCTGTTAATGCTGAGCTGAGATGATGTCTCATAGTTGGTTTGATTTGCATCTCTTAATGGCTAATGATCGTGAACATTTCTTCATGTGTTTATTGGCCACCTGACTGTCTTCTTTGGTGAAGTGTCTGTTGATGTCTTCTGCCCATTTTTTACTTGGCTTATTTGTCTTTTTAATGTTGAGGTGTTGAAGTTTTCTAGAAATTTTAGAGGTAAGTCCTTTGTTCGATATGGCATTGCTGAGTGTTTTTTCCCAATCTGTAGGTTCTCTTTTGACTCTTTTGGAGAAGTCTTTTGATGCACATGAACATTTAATTTTTAGAAGCTCCCAATCATCTAGTTTATCTTCTGCTATTTGTGCATCTTGGGTTATGCTTGATAGTCTGTTTATGCCATAAATTAGGCTCCTAAGTTTGGCCCTGTTTTTCCTTTGATTGAACTTTATAATAGTTTTAGGTTTCACATTTAGCCTTTGATCCATCTGGAGTTCGTTTTTGTGTATAGTCTGAGGTATGGATCTTGTTTCATTTTTCTGCAAATGAATATCCAGTTTTGCCAGCACCATTTGTTAAAGAGACTGGCTCTTCCCCTGAATGAATTTCAGCCCTTTGTCAAAGATTAGCTGACCATAAGTTGATGAATCTATTTCTGGGTTCTCAGTTCTGACCCACTGGTCTATGTGTCTGTTGTTGTACAAATACAAGACTGTTTTGAGAACTGTGGTTGTATATTAGTTTTTGAGATCTGGGAGTATGAGACCTCCTACTTTGTTTTTCTTCTTCAGTAGTGCTTTGCTGATCCAAGGTCTCTTTCCTTTCTGTATAAAATTAATGATTGGTTTTCCCATTTCTTTAAAGGATGTTGATGAAATCTGGATCGAGATTGCATTGAATACATAGATTGCTTTGGGTACTATTAACATTTTCACAGTATTCAATCTTCCTATTCATGAGTATGGTATATTCTTCATTTATATAGCTCTCTTACAGTTTTCTTAAAGTGATATTTTGTTGTCCCTGATAAGATTTATTCCCAAGTATATTATTTGCTTGGTAGCTGTTGTAAATGGTATTGATTTCCTTATTTCCTTTTCAGAGACCTCCTTCCTGGTATAGAGGAATCCAACTGATTTTTGCATGTTGGTCTTGTATCCTGCCACTATGCTATATCTTTTGATAAATTCCAGTAGTTTTCTTGCTGAGTCTCTTGGGTTTTCTGTATATAGGATCATATCATCTGCAAATAAGGATAATTTTATTTCATCCTCACCAATTTCAATGCCTTTGATTGTTCTTTCTTGCTTTTTTGCCCTAACTAGGACTTCCAATACAATGTTGAATAGAAATGGAGGTGGAGGGCATCATTGTCTGGTTCCTGTTCTCAAGGGGAATGGTTTTAGTCTCTCTCCATTGAGAATAATGTTGGCTGTTGGTTTTGCATATATGCCCTCCATTATGTTGAGGAATTTCCTTTCTATTCCCATTTTTCTGAGAGTTTTTATCAGGAAAGGGTATTGGATTTTACCAAATTCTATTGATATAATCATGTGATTCTTTTCCTTTATTTTACTTATGTGATGGATGACATTGATTGTTTTTCTAATGATGAACCATCCTTGCATACCTGGTCATACCTTGTATCCCTCTTGGTTATGATCTATTATTTATTTATTTTGATATATTATTGGAGTCTGTTTACTAGGATTTTGTTGAAGAGTTTTGCATCTATATTCATGAGGGATATTGGTCTGTATTTCTCCATGCTAGTGGTGTCTTTGCCTGGTTTTGGTATCAAGGTTATGCATGCTTCATAAAATGAATTTGGGAGGATTCCATCCTTTTCTGTGTTCTGGAATAGTTTGGTTAGGATTGGTGTCAGCTCTTCTCTGAATGATTGAGAGAATTCTTCAGTGAAACCATCAGAGCCAGGACTTGTTTTTGTTAGTAATTTTTTTATGACCTGTTCAACTTCTTTTTTCATGGCCCTGTTCAAATTTTCTACCTCAGTCTGTGTTAGTTTAGGTAAATAGTGTATTTCTTGGAATCTGTGCATTTCTTTTAGATTTTCAAATTTGTTAGAGTACAGTTCTTTATAGTATCTTGATATTACACTTTATATTTCATTGGTTCTGTTGTGATGTCATCCATTTCATTTCTTATTCGTGTTATTTTCATCTTCTCCTTGTGTTCCTTTGTTAAGTGTGCCAGTGATTTGTTCATTTTATTAATCTTTTCAAAGAACTAACGTCAAGTCTTGTTGATTTAAATATGATTTATGTATTTTGGTTCTCTTTCATTGTGTGCGTAGATATTTAGTATGGTTGTGTCATCTTGTTCAGTTGATCCTTTAATCATTATATAATGATCTACCTTGTCTCTTATAGTCATTTTGTCTTATAGGGTATTTTATCAGAAATAAATATTTCTACTTCTGCCCTTTTTTGGTTGCTATTTGCTTGGGATATTTTTTTCTTTTTCTCCTCTTTTTTTTTTTTTTTTTTAATTGTAATTTGGGTGAAGTTTACAGAGCAAATTCACTTTCCATACAGCAGTTCACACACACATTGTCTCATAACATTGACTACAATTCACCTCTGTGCAACAGCTCCCCTCCTGCTTCCTCCTGGTAGTTACCTCTTCCCTGTGTCCATCCCTCCTGCACTCCTGCCCCCTGAACTGTCTCCCTGTGCATAAAAAGTCCTTCTTTCTTCCATGATTTTCTCTCCATGGAGTGTATCTACCTCAGGTACATGTTCAACTCATATGCCTGTCTTTTGTTTGGCTGCAAGCCACAAGTGTGGGTTCAATTCCAGACCTGAAGGGCACCTAGGTGGGTTTGAACTGCCAGCCTTCTGGTTAGTGATTCCACCAGACTCTATCAGACCAGCAAACCTGGTCCCTTTTTTTTTTTTCTCCAAATGATTTTGAGTTTTGTTCCACATTGTTTTCCCTCTCTATTCAGGACCTCCTACATCCCCCTCCAAGTGGTTGTCAGTGGTAGCCGTCTAGTTCTTCTGGTCTTATAGTCATATAGGCTGAGGATTGCATGGTGTACCAGTCACAAGGACTAATTGTTTCCAAGAA